TATTACGCAGCGCCTGAAAATAGGCTAACTTCCGTCAACATAACCAACGTGACCACCTGCTTGCACAGGGAGCGTGCTGGGGACTATTTTCAGGCGCTGCGTAATATCATTGTGCCTGCTGCACCCATAGTACGGCAGCAAAGTTCCTTGATTATTACGCCGGAATGAGAGTATAGTTCCTAACCATATCGGCCTAGAAAATCGCAACTTTTCATTTTCCCTCGGTCTTAGTACACGATGTAACTACAGAAGAGTCAAGTTTTAAATAGGACAAAATATTGAAACTCTTTGGTCATTTTTGAGCGAGATGCTAACGGTCTAATCAGATTAAATGATCTATGCTAAGCTACAGCTAAAAGTGCTACCGCCAGACCCGGAGATCGGCTGAATGGACTCGAAAACGGTCAAACTCAACTGTTTAACTCTAGGGGAGTTGGAAAATGAGCCTATTTTCAAAAATAGTTGTGTTCCTTTAAGTGTTCAAATACTTTTTGGGAACGCTGTAGCCTATATTTATCATGTATAACATTTGAACATTTCCTCACTGTTTTGACAGATAATTGGCATGATCTTCAGCATGGTTCTATGCTGCGCCATTCGGAACAGCAGAGAAGTTATTTAGGTTCCTCGCGGTTCCCCTCTCACCCAGTTGGACTGTTTCAAAGCCCGCCGTCTTTGACCTCATCAGACCATCACATTCAGGCTCGGGAAACGGGTGGAGGAGCTCCCATGAGGCAGTGTGGGTCTTGTGGTACTGTTTTGTGAACAGCGTTCTATCTCTGATTGTTTCTGTCTTTTCTGTTACTTGCATTGTTTGATGATGACCTCCACTGCATGGACTGCTACTGTAACTGCATTAACCTTTACATTTATTTTGTCTTCAATGATTTATTACCGAATCATCACAAGGAGAATCTTCAGTGTACATCTCGCTTTTTTCAAACTTGGTCTCACTTAATAGATAGTTCTTGAGTTACCAGTTAAGAATGAATGAAACGGACATTTACTTGCTGGTGTAAATAAGCTCTCTGATGCATCACTGATCAACTACTTTTCATGTTATTTATTGTGTGAACTAGACCAGTGGCCTCATTTATAAAGCATGCGTACGCTCAGATTTGATCTTAGAATGTGCGTACGCTTAAATCCACGCCAACGCTCATATTTGTAAAAACTGTCTTTGACGTGGAAAAGTGCTTAGCGTCACGTCAGGGTCTGAGCAGACGTACGCACTTTCTCTTGTTCGAGTACTGCAGGTTTTTGGAAATGTAAGCTGTTCTTGCAGCTTGCTGTTCTAAATTAAAGAATTTGGATGATGACTGGTGATCTTTTACATGTTAATGACATTAATTAGGAGTCGTTTACAAGCAGAGAGCTGAAACCATTCATTTGCCCGCAAGTTCAAGATCATTAGCGATTCATTTTATGAATCACACGTATGCATATTTGAGAGATGATCGTAAGATCAATTTTAAGATGTTTCTGCGCAACATTTTATAAATGAGGCCCCAGGTTTTCTGTGCTAATAGATAATGGGTCATGTTTATTTTGCTGTTAATGTTTGGTTATTGTAATTTTGCCACATCATAAAGAAACTGAATGAAGCTGAGAAATGGATTGAGTCAACAAATTCAACACGAACTCAAAATCAAAACCTATTTACTTATATCGTTCCTAGTTTTGTGAAAGGTTCATTATTGCATGATTTTCTAAACGGAGCTTCATAAATTTATCAAAAGTCAACTTTTTTTTTTAACTTTTTGCCCTCACAGCTATTGAATGGGCTATTGGTTAATGTTAACCAGAAAACAAATACTCTCGCAGTCCACCTTTTGAAAATCTTGCCAATAGTAATTTTATGTTGGTTAATGGTAATGTAATAATGATTATAGCAATAATAGAGATGAAAAGCTGTTACTGCTGAGAGGAAACTCAACTTTCATCCTCCGTGTTCCAGACAATAAACACCTCAAAATTGTTTGATTCATGTTGACTTTTTCAAGTGTCACTGGTTTAATCTTTTTTTTTTTTTAACAGATTTTTTTTAGTAACTGGTTAATACATATTACTTTCCTTACTTGGCTGATTTTAAATCTGTGAAGGGCAAACAACAGTTTTTAGGGAGATCAACAAACGTAATTTTCAATACTGCTGTACAATTGCAAAAACCCAGCCCAACCAAAAACATGGCTAAAGTAAATCAACCAGTTCCATTTCTTTTTTTTTTCTTTCTGCAACAAACGTAATTTTCAATACTGCTGTACAATTGCAAAAACCCAGCCCAACCAAAAACATGGCTAAAGTAAATCAACCATTTCCATTTCTTTTTTTTTCTCTTTCTCTTCTGCAGGTCTGTTCAGTAATGTGACCCACTAGTTTTATTGATCTGTGTGCCTTTATAACTGACAAAGCCCCATTATAAACATGTTTGCAATTACATTAATATGCACATTTTTGTAGTGGCTCTTAACATCAAGTAGGTTTTTTTTTTACTCTTTCATAGCATTGTGTTGCATATAAATGGCTTTGAAATAAAATATGGTCACAGGTCATGAAAGCCTGAGCAACATTAAAACAGCTCACACAAGTATACTTTTTTTTTAATTCTTTGTTTGTAATGTTGAATTATACCATTACATTAAACCATGTTGCATTGAGGTGTCATTGTAGGAAGATGTTAATACTGTCATCAAACATCACAGCACTTATACAGCCTTTTGCTCAAGGCTAGGTTCCTCAAACTTTGTGAAGAGTTTGTCTTAATTTAAGGCAAACACATGACCTAAAAAATAATGACCTATGCTTTGTGATTAGAAATCCCTGGAAGCTACAGTTGTAACATGCTGGACCACATAACGGAAAAATAAAAATAAATGCACATCTTCAAAGTGACAAAATATTGCATAAATACAATATGCATCATGTTAGGCTGTTTTAGGTAGTCATTGCATACTGCATTTTAGACAGCACCTTGTGTACCGTCCCCAAAATCAGCTCAAAGACTGAACTGGAGCAAAATGTGCATCTGATGAAACGAAACGGAAGTCAATGACATTCCCTAAAACTATTAACAATTTAGAGTTACAAGGTCTGAAAGCTTCAAAAGCATTAAGTAACCCAATTGTTTAGACACTGAAAACAGTGGCAGGAACAGAAAAACAGAAATAAATGAACTTTGAGTAGGAAAAAGGAGACTATTAATACAAAAAGAATTGTAGATATATAGATGAAAAAAGTCAACATAAATCATTAGTGTCATTACAGTGACACCAGTCTCCCCTCATTGAGGGGAAACTTTCACATATGCTTCTAGAAAAGGTAAGCACGTCTTAAGCGCTCTCCTCCAGATGTTATCCTTACCAACAAGTGCAAAATGCTGGCCACAGCCCATCAAATAAGCCTGTAAACCATAGAGGAAGTGCGGTAAGGCTGGAAAAAACTTTTAACCAGAGTAGAAGTTGTCGTTCTCTCAACAACTCTACCATCTTGATTAATGTTTATCTTTTCTTGTAAATGTACAGTTGGTTGTGTAGCTGCCACAGTATGAGAGGTACTGGGGTCTGTTCAGTCAGAGATTAGCTTTAGTGAGGACTGGCTCATGATAAACTCTCCCACGCCGATGAAGTACATGACCTGCACGATACCAAACAGTGGTGCGATGACTAGAGCCCTGCAGCCTGCTCCCTTCAGGAAAGCAGACGGGCCTTCTCGCTTCATGACCTTGCTGTAGGAAAAAAAAGTGGTGCGATGACTAGAGCCCTGCAGCCTGCTCCCTTCAGGAAAGCAGACGGGCCTTCTCGCTTCATGACCTTGCTGTAGGAAAAAAAAAACAAGCAACGGTCACAGGCGGTAGATGATATACTCACATTCCAGAATTAGAAATCGGTTAAATCGTAACATTTAAAACAAGTTATTGGACTGATGCGTCACCTGAAACAGTCAATTATGCCGCTGTAGGTTTCCTCGTTGGCTCCTTTGCTCAGAGACTGCAGCCTGGTCTTAACCACTGCCAAATCAAATAAAAACAGTGAGCATGTGCATTTCCTTTTAAAAGTGCATCAATGAAATGGGGCTAAAGAGGACCAAAACAACTCTTACCATCACATGGGTTAACGGCAACAGCAGCTGTGGAGCCTGCAACACATCCAGAGATGAATGACCAATAAAATGGTGCAGCTGCATCAGGGGAGGGCTTACCCAACTTGTTCAAATTTGCAAAGAGAGGGAAGTAGATGATCGAGAAAGGTACATCTCTATATAAAAAAAAAAAAAAGAGAGAAAACAAGGCATTTATGGTCTCATTACTGTGAATGTTTGCATTTATTGTTGTTACAGTAAAGATTATACGACGCATTACCTTAATAGAGTTGCACCAAGGCCTTTGTAGAGCCCCTGAATGCCTTGAGAGTGCAGTAACTCTCTTGCGATCTGGGTGGCAGATACGGCTCTGGGTGAGGTGTTGGGCACCACGTTGTAGGAACGACTCAACACCGCGTTTGTGGTCACCAGTCTATTGGGTGGAATTATGCCTGGTTTTCTCTGCTGAGCGGCTGTGAAGAGGATCAGAAAGTTGTTGCTACAGCTAAATGACTGAGTGAGTAATACAACTAGACTGATCTCAAAATGTACTCCTATTACTGCGTGCCAAATGACACAACTGACCAATCAGAATCGAGACCACACAATAGGCTAGATTTCATTGCTTCATTAAGCACAAAGAAAAGAAAAAAACCCTACCTAGTCTCCCAGCATCCTGTAGTTGAATTTTCAGCATCTCCATTGGAGTAGTGATGATAACCTGGCACATGCCCGCAGCACATCCAGCCAACATCTCTCTAAATACAGTCAGCCCTCTCCTGTAACAAACAAGGCAATGGTTATATATGTATATAAAAAAAATTGCATTTGAACAAGCACTAAAAAGTGCAGAAGCAGAAAACATACCCATCTTTGGAGAGGTGGCAACGGAAGAAGTCATTGGCAGCCAGTTTGATGGCCTTCTCAGGAGTGACGAGTGTAAGATTAACCGCAGCACCTAAAAGACAAAAAAACAGGGTTAAAGAAAACTACACCACAACTGAACACAGATCAGCAAACACATTCCCCACCACCATCAAACCAAAGATAAATCTACAACATGACCTTATCAAATACCATTCAAACTGATTACAAGATAAAATGCTACTGAGAGACTGTAAGAATATAAGCATAGCTTATGAGAGAACTGTGAGCTGATGATGGAGGGGGATTCTACATAATGTGAACAAAACCAAAAGAATTAACTAGTATATAAACAAACAGAGGACAGAAAAATAGGATAGAATATTCACATAAATGTAGTGAGACAAAAATGAATGCAGGCACATTCCAGAAAGAGACCGACATTAGGGCTGTGCAGTATCACAGTATAAAATATGGAAACGTGTTAGCAGGTAGATTTTGCTGTGCTGTTTATGCAGTGTTCAATCTACAAACAATAGAGAGAAATGCAGCCTATTCTCCAAACTGTCGCAAACAGCTGCTTCCACTGAAGACCGCTTTGTGTAGTTTTGATGTGTTGCACATGTGCTAACTGTAGTTTAAATATTAATCAACTGATGTGAGGTCACAACTATTTCACAACAGCTTCAAATATTATTATTTATAATGCACTTTCTATATTATATTTATAATGTACTGCTGTACTGAGTGTTTTTAAACTCAAGTGATAAATGAAGTGAAGAATTGTTTTTACACTGATGCCAGACATCTGGATTTGTTGTGCATTCCTCAAGTTTGCATACTAAAGAAAATAATCCATATAAAACAAAAGAATTAAGACTAAGTAACTTTAATTTGTAAATTATTCATAACAAAAATGTATAACTATATAATTTTGTAAGAAAACATTTTGGGTTGAATTTAGGCAAAAAAAACCAAAAAACATTTACAGTAATATAAGTATTTGGTCATACTGCCCAGCCCTAATTGAAACCATGTTATTTTAAGATGCGCCTGTCTTTAAAGACAAAGCACAGCGGTTGTTCACATGATCAAATAAATTTTTTTTAAAAACCTTAAAAAAAGACGAAGTAGATAATGAGCGTAAGTGGTGACGATGATGATGATGATGAATATATTATCCAACAAAACATTCTAGATGTTAACAGAACATGGCAAGATGGGTTAGTACCGATTGAGACAAGAGCAAGGGCAGTGAAGAAAGAAAAAGAAAAAAACTACAAAGAAACAAGAAGCAAAAGTAAATATCAATTCAACAATTATGTATAAACAAAACAAAAAATTGTGCCTAATTGTAAGAGCAGAGTGAGTAAGAACCATGATAAATGATTTGCCTCCAGCGTGGCTGCGCCTTATCGGCTAGCCTTCACTATCCCAGCGGGGACCCATGTCTGTAACATGAAAAACACAGATGCAAACAACAGCATTCCTCACAGAAATGGAGACCCGGCACAATGCACCGACTCCAATCTCCTCCAAACTCCACAGATAGCACTCTTCAAGAATACTTATATTGGTCTACTGAATAACTGAAGCCAAACAACTGATCTACCAAATGTAATAATTACAACATGTTTGATTTGCTTCATTTAAATTGAACCCTCTGATGCATTAATTATTAAATCTCATTAAAAAAAAAAAAAAAGTATCTTCATACTTTAAAACACCATAACCATTTCCAATTTATTAATTGAGTATATCATTTTCATGAGTTTAAAATAAAATGTGTATTTTGAGAGATTGGTCCATTAACATAAGCTAATGGTAAAAATTAAAGAGGTAATTATGTGAGATATGTTGTCAGGAATAGGGAGTCACGTAGAATTATGGCTGAAGGTCAAATTAAAATCGCCTCATGGTGGTTTGCACGTAACATCACACCTTGAATAGTTAAAATGCTACTATAGTGCACGCCATTCATCAGAGGGTTAAAAATAAAGGGTTATGTACTACTCTAGGCTGTTATTGAGGCCATTTACCAGCCAAAGTATACTCAACAGACTTCCAAAAAAAGAAAAAGTTGAATTAAAAGTTAATTCTTTAGACGTTGGGAAAGTGCTTAAATATTGCTATTTCAGTGCTACAAGTAGCAAAAAATCTATTAGTTTGTGTTTAAATACCACCATCCAAGCTATTCTAGTTCATTCTCCAAAGTCATATGGACTGGATTCTTGAAGCCTATTCAGGTGTACCCATCATGCCATATAAGAGGATATTCTAATCTAAATAGGGCATAACTATACTTTAAGGCACTTATGAATAAATAGAGTGAATCTTACCTCTATACATGCCAAAGTATCCCTCAGATCGTACTGTTTTGATGAGGCAGTCAACCCTAAAAAACAGTTGTGTTAACATGGGTCAGCCTACTTTTGCTTCAACAAATTAACCTGTATTAGCAACAAAAGCTACGTGTGGTATGTTCAGTATGTGTTTAAATCATGCATGCGACACGGTCTGGCCTCAATCCTTATAAGGCTTTGCAGTGACCGTAGTGGCTGAACCATCATGTCAGGCGGAAACTACGCCTGGCCTGACACATTCCACTAGGATTAACTACCAATGCTAATCAAATCAAAGTGAGGAATGACAAGCAGGAGTATCTAATAATGGTGTGTGTGAATTAAAATAGAATGAGGAATTTAAGAATAAGAAGTGGAGAGCTCTTACATGCTCTTGTAGACTTGCTGGCCTTGTCTCTGGTTCTGGAGTCTAGTCTTGGCCAAATCGATGGGAAACACGCAAGTGATCCCAACGATGCCAGCAATGCCACCATTGATCAGTTTGGCAGGGAGGCTAAAGGAGAAATGTACAAAATGAATCAAAACATGGCTAAAAAAAAAATTATAATAATAATACACACATACATGAATTCAAGGGGGCTTTTGTAAATGTATTAATATATAAAAAACATAACTAATTCATTCTTAACTATTACTTAACATTTAACTACTTATATTGCTATTGTCTGGCTAGTAAATTTTTTTGTTTACTCGCCAGACTGATAAATATATACATACACGTATACATACATACACACACACATATACACACACACACATACATATATACACCCAAAAACAACCTAATTCCTAAAATGTAATTAATGATTTATAATATCCTGTACCTGATTTGTTGAGACATTGTGTGATTTGTTGAGACAAGTTTCAGGAATGAGATGAGGATTGAGTTTGATTAGAGCTTCTTGCAGTGATCAGTGAAGGAAGTTCAGACCTCGAGAGCAGAGACCTGGAGTAAAGACACAGTGATCAATGTTAACTGACTGATATAAGCCTTCTACACGTATTCTACAAACGGAAACAAATAACTTCCACCTCACTGTCATTAAGCTCTTCCTACGCATCGCGTGACGTTTTAATCCACCGGCCAAAACACTGAGCCATAAGGTCAGACGAGACTGACTCACTACCGTGTAAGTATTTATATATAAATACACGTGTAATATATGTGTAAGGCCAATAAATAAGTGTGCGAGCGCATGTAGGCTATGCCTGAACGCATGTGTTCAGTCAGGGGGTTTGGCTATGTGGCGTGTAATTGTCACTGATGGGAAGTCCGACTCATTTCCGCGAATCGGCTTTTTCGAACAGTTTGTTTCAAAGCGCGGGCAGTTCTTTTACGTCCTGACGCAATTACGCAATCACGTGGTCTCTGACATCCCGCCAATTGAATACTTTAAAACGTTTCGGTAAAGCCATACATATGCACATTATGCAGTTTATTAATAAGGGTGGTTGTTATTTACTCGCTAATTGCTCATTCAAACTGATTTTGTGAACCAGCGCAAGGAATTTAACAAGATAACTCAAGACCTGACACGTTTCAGTGACATTCCTCTTACACACGCCCATTGCATTAGGTTTGCAAACAAGCTCAATTTCTGCATGTTTTTTCTTTGGCAATTTTATAACCATTTTTTTGTTTTGTTTTGTTTTTTACAATATCGTTCCCTATTCTTAACATTTTGTGGCTGTTGCATTAAAGATAAAGATACAGATAGATACAGTATTAACAAGACAATTAAGTACATGATATAAAAAAAAAAATGTATAAAACAATTCTCGAAAGCAATCTTTTGAACGCGGTTAAGGAAATTCAGTCAGCATTTCTAGAAAAGCGGAAATGAATTACCCGGTTTCGCCTAACGGTCAAAGCTGCAGGTTAGTTAAAGTTACACGGCAAACTAAAACCGGTTTAAATAAACGAAAACACTTGAGAGAACAGTTACCTCCAACCCCGAAGATATTAAAATATTACGAGTCAAATTATTTTATTACCGGTAAGTTACACGTTTGGTCAGTGAAGAGCTTGCTGCTCAACATTTCTATTTCTGATATAACGTTATTTCTACTATTTAACTTCTATATCAGTACTAGAACATAAATCTGTTTTACGCTTTTTCAAAAATAAACACTTACCTCAGAAATGAGCCGAAATCGTTCAAATATTTGAATGAGGTTCCGTATTCTAGAACATTCCACGACGAGGGACTTTGAATGAGTGTTTGAATGGAAAATTCCTTTCAGCTTTAAAATAGGAGGCGGGGCGTTTGTGCCGGGTGTAAATTTACTTGTCCAATCATGCCTCAATATATTTGTATGCCCACATTCAATTTGCAGTCAGTTCTAAGGACCTCCTACTAGGAGTCAAAGCCGAGGGGTGAGAGTGGACACGGTGTCAAATTACAGCGGCCATATCGAAAGAAAGGGTATTTTAGTTCTGTGACGTTTCTAGAACAGTAGTTCAGTTTGTTCTAAACACAATATGTATGAATAATAAAAGATAAATACATATTTATGGTTATGATTTATATTACTTTTCATAAAATATATACATTAAGAACAGGATGGCACAAAGAAAAACATATTAACATAGAATATAAAATACTACATTTTAATTTTTCTTTTACATTTCTTCTCTAATTTTGATATTTTCTGATTCTCTATTAAAAAGAGCGATATTGACAATGTGTTTGCCCCATATAGTTTTCCCAGGTAGTTTTTTTTTTTCTTTTGAGAATAGCAGACAAAAATATAGTGGATGTGTTCTCCAACAATCACAGAAACGACTAAAATGATACTTTCTCAGACACCAATTCTTTGATTGGCCCGATTAGCATTAGAATGCTTGAGTCGAAATGGTAAACATTGGGAAAAGACCAACATGAAAACAAGCTTTTTCCATATTTTCCCCCTGAAACCCTGTAATTACAAACCGTGTTGTGAGACACAATGTGTTTACTTGTTTGGTGTAAGTAGCCTAACTGTGATTAAGAGATGTAGCACACTGACACCCTCTTCCTAGAGCATGATGAAGGTAAATCCCTGTAAGCTTCTTCTCAGTGAAACTCCAGAAAGATCAGTGATCGACGTGCTAGGCTAATCTTCGTTTCTCAGGTTGACAGTTCTAGTAATAAAGTTCTAATTTAAGTGAACAGTTGTCTGATATGCTTAAAATAACAGACAATGAATGTACGGGTGTTATATTAAAACTATCAGGCCTGCAGCTGGTGGTTATCACTCACAATAACAGCTTTATTTAGCTCATAACACGAGAACTATTGATCAGCTCTAATTTAGATGACTACATTGCAGAGCTGTATACTTGTGTCATGCTGTTATTTTATCTTCCAGACTTTTCTTAAACAGATTTTTTTTAGAAGAACCTGTATGAAGGTTATTTAGGTCATCTTAAAAGGCCAGCTTGGAATGTAACTTAAAGACTCAAATTTGAATGCAACTTTGCGGAACTTCAGCAACAACAGCCCCATTGAAATTCAGCCTTGGGCTTCTCAGCCTTTGGTTTATGTTCCAAGTCTAGCCAGTTTTAGCAAGACGAATGCAGCACAAAAATTCCACTGGACTCTGAGCACAGGGGTCCCTCCAACTCTGCAAAAGACTGCTGAGCAGCCAGATTCCACCAGCTTTATTGTTTGATGTATTATTATATCAGGGCATTGGATTATCACAACATAGACTCATGCACTATTGTCAAGAAAGCATCTGTGCCATTCTCATTTGATTGGCCAGATTGTGACCAAGCCGACAGGAATCCTTGAATAATATGAAGGGGATCACAGTGGAATGGCCGTCTCTACATATGAATGAACATGATTAAAGGAAAACTAACATGGATAAATAATGAAATAACAACCGAAAGATGGAGAACAGCCTCCATGCCATTATGTAATCCATGCACTACAAATTAAAATGTATTGATTTGTACATGTTTGGACAGGGAGCAAAAGGAACATACAGTATGTTTTGTCTTAATTATATAATGTTTAGTAGTTTTCCATAGTTAGGGAGGAGTAGGTCATGTTTGTACTGGTTGACAGGACACTGACTGAGAGGCAGGACCTAATATATTTCATTTGCTGTCCTGCCATGAACCCCAAGCATGTGACCATGGTGTCAGTTCTAGACACCACTCTTCTATAACTCTTCTTCTGCCTTCTTCTGCCACATAAAAAAGAAGAATATATTATTGCGTGACAGCCATAAAAGAAATACGTAGTAACGGCTGGTTACAATTTCCCATAAAACACAATATGGCCTATAAAGGCAGTAACAAAAGGACTAGAATGAATGCTAACTTGGGTTAACCACCCTTTGAGCTCGTAATATAAATAACCCACAGCTGTTTGCCTCTCTAAATATGCATTATCTTGGAATGAGTGCTCATTTACTACACACAAACACACCACAATGACGGCTACTTCTTGGACAATTAAATGTCAATGACACTGTATGGTGGTTCAATACAAAGCAGTTCTTTTAATGAACAACATTTACGCAAAACAATGCTTTACCAAGTGGCACAGTTTCAGAATCGGTATTTAAATGGCCTTTTCAGCCTCCCAGTCATGCAGCTCAGCTTATCAACATTGGTTTAATCAATAGCATGCGTTTTAAAGCGGGATCTGTTTGATGACTAATGGCAGACAGGGTGAATATTTTGGAAATCGGTTTAGCATTATTCAGTCATTTAGTTTTGTAGTTCTGGCCAACCCTGATCCCATGAGAAAATGTAACTATTTTACGAGGTGAAGATTTTGTATGAATTCGTACAATGCGATTCGCACAGAAACATGCAATTTTAGAAAAAAGTAAGCCAGAAGGACCACCCCGAACCGTTAGTGGGACGTAAACATATTGTATGAAAACGGACGAAAGAAACCAGACAAATTCATATGAATTAGTCACCAATTCGCCAAAATGTAAAATTGACTGCCATGAGAGTGTGATGGTTCTGGGTCAAAAATTACTTACTTCACCTTATGTTTTGCTTTAATCCACTGCATGACTAACCTTTGTCCTTACCACCAACTCGGAACCACAATAGAGTATGAATGAATTTTGCACAAATTTGTACAATGCAATTCACTGAAAATGTACACTTACTAGAAAAAAGTAAGTATGAAGGTCCATAAACCTAACCATCAATAGGACACAAGATCATACAAACATATACAAAAGAGAGTGTACAAATTCTTGAATTAGAGACCAATTTGCCAAAACATACAACAGATATGGATTGGTGGTTCTGGGACTGAAATTACTCACTACATCTCTTGTTTTGGTTAAATCTATTACATGACTAGCCCTTGTCCTACAAACAATTGGAAACCACAAAAGAGTACAAATGAATGTTGTATAAATGTCTAGAATGTGATTCGTACGGAAACATACATTTTTTAGAAAAAAGCATGAAGGTCCAACTCTAACCACACCTGTAAACCTAACCATTATGAATCATATAATCATATAAATATAAATATATAAATATACATATAAATCGTATGAAAATGTACGAAAGGAATCATACAAATTCATATGAATTAGCTACCAATTTGCCAAAACGTAAAACAAATACAAATCGCCATTAAAGTTTGTTGGTTCTGGGACTGAAATTTCTTCACCTCTCATTTTGCATCTATTGCACGACAAGCTTTTACAGTTTACTGGTAGCCACAAACGAGTATGAATAATTACACAGAAACAAACTGTTAAACCATAAACACAAACAATAATGATAACTCATTTTTATGGAAGGATTTTCACTCTGTATTTTTTATAGAAGCACTGCCAATCAAACACTAAAACGTAACTAAAGTTTACAGAATTTATATTATCCATAAAATCATAAGTATTTGAACCCCATTAAAAACACACCTTCTTTTTAACCACTTTTGGCCTCATTAAAGACATCATATGCAGGATATAAAATACAGCAACCATAATGTGTTAGGTAACTTTGTGACATAAGGTTTACTCAAAGATTACCTAAAAAATAACTGCCCACAGTCAACTGCTACAGCACAAACACTGTTTTTAATTTAAGTTTTAGCTAATTAAACTTTACTCATACTGTTCCCAATATGCCTGAATGTAGTTGTTCTCAGGGTACAAATGACGGACAGGTTTGGAGAATTTCATGCCAGCGTTGCTGGTTTTGTAGGCACATTCATCACTGTGGGTGTTACAGGTGCTGCAGTGGCAACTAAGGGCCACCGGATAGGTGACGTGAGGATCTGCATGTGAAGGGCAGCCGGGCAAGATGGCAATCCGGTACTCTACTTCTTGATACGTGCAGCCCCTCTGAACCAGGAAACGAGGACCAACCAACTCCTTCACATTACTGTCCTATAGGATGAATGTTGTGATGCAGATTTAGCCCCATTGTCACTAAATCAAACATCTAGGTTATGAACTAGAATATCCCAGATTGTTTCTTAACATAACAGATTGTGAAATAGATTGCATCCTCATATTTCCAAACCCATATGACCTTTGTTCTTCTGTGGAACCCAAAACAAAATGATAAACAATGGAAATACATTTTTTTTATCTCTGTTTGTGTTCCACAGAAAGAACTCCGTCATACAGGCTTGGCAAACAATAACAGAAGTCATTCAATCATTTGTGGAAATCAGCTTGTCGTGCTGCAAGCTGGGACATTTCTCCTTGGATCCAGTTCTCTATACATCTTCCTCACCGCGTCCACTTACCCTGGAGAAACAGAAGCCCATGCAGATGGTGGTGTTGACAGCCACACAGTAATTGCACTCCTGTCTCTCGATGTAAATGGTGTACTCAGTGGGGGCACACATAGGCATGGCTACCTTCATCAAAAATCCCAGCATGCCAACCACATACACAGGAGACATAGCTGGCGGTATATCAGGGTGTCTATTAAAGAGATGGAGAACCACAATATAATGAAAAATAAATACTAAAAATCACAAAACTAGACAGTAAACCAGGCAACACGAATTAAAAGTCATCCTGTGAGTGGTGCCCAATTCTGACCCCTGCCAGATTATTACCCCCCTAATATTGATAGGTTTAGGGTTAGGTGTGGGGTTAGGATTAGGCAATCAGATAGCAATTTCAACGAGAGGGGTAATAATTTTGCAGAGGGTCAAATATGGGCACAACCCTGGCACTTGTTGTGGGTGGTTGCTGGTGTATTGTTATGCGGTTGTGTATGCTGCCTTCCAGTACCTTCGAGG